TCTGCAGTTTAACTGTCTTGATTTGAATACTCCAGTTGTGCTGAGAATAATTTCATTCTTAGTGAAATGCTTTTCTTTGCCTTTTTAATATGTTCGTCACTCAATAAAATTCGATGTTTTGGATCTACATATATTGAACCCAATGAGATCTTGCTGGGTTCAATATATGTAGATCCGAAACACCGAATTTTCTTGGATGACTAACAAATTAAAACACGGCAAAGAAAGCCATCTATGAACTTTCATTAAGAATGAAATTATTCTAGTTTGCTAGACAATGACATTGTCTAGTTTCTCTTTTCTTCATTGAGGAAATGATTCCTTCTGCAATAAGCTTTCCCATTTTAGAAACAACAAATATTTTTCCAATCTCACAGGAAGAAGGTCTCCTGTTAATTCTTCAGATTGTAGCTTTTTTTGTGGCTATATACGGTATAGAAAGAAAAGTTTCAAATTCTGCAAGATCATTCCACAGTCTTTCTGTTAGTGAAACATTACGGCTATCTACATCTTTTAAAAAGTTCTTCTAACAACCTCTTTATCATCAAATATGCACTTCTCCATAATGCTATTTGATCAATAATTGCTCCTTTTACTGCTCACCTCCTAAGAATGGCATCCCTTTTGGGAGTCCTTGCTGCTTGCCTAAATTTAATGAGATTTGTGGCATGGGTACCAATGAGATTTGTAGCACTTTGCAGACATGGGCTCCTTTTTCTTCTTGTGAATTATGCTACAATGATGCCATCTTTGAACTGAAGAAATAACTAAATGAATCAGTTTAATGAATAATGAAACAAATCAAAGTATGTAGGTTTTAAGTTGAATTTTCAATTTTTTAAAGGTGTAAAAAAAAGCATTTGGTTTTAATGTTAGTTTACTATCCCAAGTTATCTTGGGCAAACGAAAAAAGTTAAATATTAGTCTTTGTATGATAGTTTTTGAAACAAGGGACAAGACAAAGTGATACTTGATATTATACACTTGTATTTGGTCTCTTTTCTTACTGGCTTACTGCTGGAATCTCTTTTTCGGGAGCACAGAGTACATTGTATTGTTGGATTTGATTTTTTTTTTTTTTAAATTTTTTTCCCACCTCTTCATAATCACTATCTGAAAAAATCTTCATTTTCGCTATCTTGCATCATCGCCATTATTTTATTTCTTTCAAATACATGTATCTTTCTTTATATATTACTAATCCACAAGCTGACATATACTATACAATAGGGAAACACGTGACCAGTCCCTCCAAAAGAACTGCGCAACCAACAAAATTTGGCAAACTGCCAATCAAAGCTGAATATTTCCTTTCATTTCCTCTAGGCTGAGTAAAACCGTGATAAAACAAATCCTACTAACAAATTCTGCTTCGCCCGAGTTTTCATGGGATAATAATTAACTACAATATATATAGGAATACGAGATAACTTGGGCTAATCAAGCAGGCGGTTAATATATGAATCAAATGGAAAATAACTAAATATTATTAATGTATATAGGCCATAAATAAAAATAATAACTCAGTTTGTCATAATTTGTTTTTCAATTCACTTTAATTTCATTTCAAATTGAAACTGTCCAACAAAAACTGGAGTCAGAGTCGACATGTTTTTAGCGACTCTTTTTACCCAAAATTCTGCCTAACTCTAATTCCGACTCCACAGCACTGGTATTTAGTGAGGTTTTCAATTAAATTGGATAGAAAGTGTCTAAATGTAGCCTATCAAAGAAATAACAGAAAAACTATGTGAAAAAATTTGAAAGTCTGTGTTAAATGATAAAAATCTAATGATGCAATGGACTAAAAAACAGTTTGTAATTCATAACTGAAGTTGACATCAACTGATAAAATGTCCTACAATATTAAACACATTGCTGCAGGGATCAAAATTTTATTCATGTTAACCGAGTGTAAGTTCATGTTAAGGGAGGGGTTACTGTAATTTATTATACTTATTTATTTTTTATTATTATTATTGCTAATTTGGTATAAAACATATAGCAAAGTTCATTATTAATTACAAAGTAGAAATAACATTCGTAAGACAAAAATAATTTGGTTACTGTACTTATGTAAAATCCTGATGTCACTGAAATGGTCGAGGGCTATTTTGGTGCGACTGAAATCACTTACATAAAAATATTGGTACTTAATATACTATCTCATCAACTGTAAAACTGTCGCCAAGCAGTGCAATTTAGCATTAGTTAGGGATAAGCATGGCAGTAACAATCGACAACTGTGCTTTTCATTTGATGTAACCCTGACTGATTCTCGGTAACTCCCTTCTCTTTTTATTACCAAGGATATTAATTAGCTATTATTACTGCATTTTGTTTCTTGTATTTTGAAAAAGAAATTATTACAATTTGGGATTTGCCTTTTACAGAACAGCAAGTAGTGGATCATTGAGATCCTACAATTAAAAAAGGGGGAGTATAGATTAAAAAATGTATTAATGGATATGGTATGGTACTTTATTTACAATCAAGTAAGCAATTTCAAGGCAATATTCATGACTGTAATTTTATTCATTTACAGCTGGCCGAGAGAATTAACACTTGTTAAATGGAAGAACTGAATAGCTGGATATAGCTGACAAAACAGTAATAGATTGGAATAATTGAAGAACCAAGTCTGCTTTGTGGTCGGAGGGATAGCCAAACCCTCGACCCCTCCACAGCCGTGCAAGTGAAAGGATTCTGAGCCCTGAAGGTTCGCCGCCGAGCATCCCATATAAAAAGACGCCATGCAACATTCTGTCATGGAACAGCCCTCAGTCATAGTGGCACTCCACACTAGACCTCATAAAATAGCAGAAACTGGTGAAAGCCTTTTTAAAAGAGCAAAAATGAAGCTAGTTGAATACCAATTTTTTATAATAAATAAAGAGGTGTCAGTTGCTTCTGAATTTCATAGGAACAACTGGCATAGCATGACAGTTGGTGAGATCTCTGCCAACATTCACAGTTCGACTGTGCCCAACTTTCACAGTTGATGAGAAAATACATAAGTACCATAATCTGAATTATATAATTAGGTAAGAAAATATAGTTTGTAATTTATCAACCAGGCAAGAAAAGCTGTACAAAAGAATTTGCAGTTTTTGATTATCCGAAAGATCTGCAGTTTTGGATAAAATATACACATGAAGCAGTACAAAAGCATAAGACTTTTGCCATTTCTCGGGCAGCTGGTAAATTTCTTTCTTATAAAGTTTGTCAAGAAAGTAAAGTTTATCTATAAAGAAGTTATTGAGGTACTGTTTGACAATCTCCAAAGAGAATTTTGAAGTAACCTGAAGAGATGAAAATCCACAATGGCAAGGTCTAGTGAATATGCAGGGCGACAAACATCTCAGCCATACTTAACAAGTTTTTGTCAGTCATTAAAATGTATTTACTAAAATTAGTTGCCCAGCACTGATATGATGGAAGACAACACCTCAAAAACTGGTCATTTCTGGAAACTTCACTTCAATTTCTGCTTCTAAAACTCAAATATGGGATCAGTATTTTTTGAATTTATTGCCGATATGATGGCAAAAATTCATAACACACAACTCCTTCCATAAAGCATTACAATTTGGGGATGCAGCCTCCCTCTTGATGTTACTAGAGGTTCTTTTGGTTTATCGCATGATATTTTTCTTGTAATATTATTGTATAACATCACGTTTGTCTCTCATTTCATAAAAACAGCTTCTTAAATTTTTTTTCAGTAAAGAATCACATGCCAAAACCTGAGTAATTCAAATATCCAACTGGTCGAGCATAAATAAAACAAGCTGTAACCATGCTGACTGGATTGAAAATTCTATGGTTTCTATTACGCAGATGTTCAATGTAAAGAATCCTGTTGAAGATTCGGCACGACTGCGAAACTATTGCCAAGCAGTATGATTTTGTGCCAATTATAAAAAAGAATGATGTAAAAAAGCATTTATATCTGCGCTTTCCTTTGATGTAAGTTCAACAAAATAGTAGAAATAGATGGAAGCCATTTTATAAAGTGACTCAAATCAGCACTTACTAATTAAATTTAATTTGCTTATTAAATAAAGAGGAATCAGTTCCATCAACATTCCAAATGAAGGACTGGTGCAACTTTGGCAGGATCTTCACCAATTTTCATAGTCAACAGGATAATACTATAAAATTTAAGTAAAAGTACAAACAGCTTTTACTGGTGAATACAAAGTTTTGTAGAAAATGATTTTCAATCTTTTTAGAGTACCAACAATGAGACTGCTTCATAATGCCATACTGTATTACCTTTTCCTCCCATGCCAATATACAGCATACAAAAGGACTTAAATCTGGTAACTTCACAAAAAAGGAAGGGAAGGCACAGATGGTCAATTATGTTAGCAGGAGAAATGTTTGTAAACAGCTTCTACATCTCGAGTCAATATATATGCGTACAGGATGGTTCACCCATTACACTGTCACAAAAATTCTTGATGAGTTAAGACTTAAATTTCACTTCAGCAGGGTCAATATGGTCTTTCAGCTAGGTCTCATCACGAAAAGAATCAAAAGGATTTTTTTTTAAATATAATCTCTAGATGCAATTTCTAGAATCTCTTTTAAGATGAGTATTTATTTTCTGAATCTCCATGGCAAAAATTTTCAGACTGAAGGCCTGGTGCCTAATTAATTGCCTTGGCATAATCATACTGAGATAATTTTTCAAAACTTTAAGCAATTAATTTCTCTTAAGTATACTACCAACACTTCTCTCTTAAATTACCTTTTATTTATGCATATGAAAGCACACTTTAAATTGATACAGCATGTACATCTGCTGTTTGATAATGTCAGAACTAGAATCTAAATAAGAAGATTTATATTCAGGATAAAAATATATAATAACAATAATACATAAACAAACAAAATTATATTTAAATAAAAGTTAATACTATATAACATGCAGTTCTTTTATGGATACAGCACTAGTTCACAGAATTAAGCTGGACCAAAAAAAAATTACAAACCTGTTATCATTTGCAAAATTATGGCCATAGCGAATATTTAAAGAAGTCATATCTTCAAATCCTACAGAACGCCTTCTCATATGAGTTTTAAAATGTTTCACTGGTACTTTATCAATGTGTTCTATAGCACTATTTTTCCTCTCAGGAGAATTTTTAGCAAAAGTATTTTTAATTTGTTCATCTGTTTCTTTTGGTCCATCTCTATTCACAGCTCCTGTTTTCCTAGAGAAATTATGGCACATATCTGCCTTTTTGGTAAACACTGGTATGAATGATGTGTTATTTCCATGAGCATTGTTATTTTGGCGTAAATCAGTGTTGAATTTCTGAGCATTTTCTTCAGGTCTTAAATTTCTAGGGCTACATTTTGAATTGGAAACATCATTCTTAGCTTTTGTAGCCACATACACATCCATTTTTGAAGACGGCAAATTTCTGAAAAAAAATAGAAGCATAATTTAAACAAAATACAATATTTTTATGCAATTCCTGAAGCATGAAATTTTATTTATAATAAAGTAAGAATATAATGTTAGCAACATAGCATAACTATGTAACACGGCCAGATTACACTGCCATCTATGAGTTTAACATAGGGTTCTTTTACTTCGTACAAGGAAGTAAAAAAATATGCAAAATATGAGTAAAATTAAAAATTTAACAGAAAATTTACCCCTCTAATTTTTCTTTGGCAAATTCCATACTGATGATCCATAACCTCAGTCAGATCCAAAATGGTAAAAAAGAATAGTTACCATTCTAATAAACAAGAAATTTGTAACTTCTGGGGGGTAATGAGATAAAATGGGCAAGCATAACCCTTCCAAGAGGACATTTTAAAAAAACTGCAGATTCAACTGAAATTTGAAAAACATGCTGATCATTGTATCTACTCAATCACTTTTGCTCTCAAAACATTCCTTCCAAGCCTTGGTCCATGCAGGTAAACATTCTCATTTATAAAAAGGAAATCTGGACTGATTACTGCAATATGAAATCTGATGCAAAGTTTCAGAGCCTCTTGGAATGTCTTCCTGCTATTACAATATCGTCTGTAAGCATATCAAAGCAGATTTGGTAAACAAATTAACAGATTAATTAGTATACTGTTTAACAGTGTTATTGGAATGGACAGAATATTATGAGTTAAAATCATACATTGACAACTACACTATCATCATGCTGTTCTGGTTATAGATATCAAAAGGGGATAAAAGTTTGTTACCTATGCACACAGATCTTTTACACTTTACACTAGCATTGACTATCAGTCTTCTTACATCTGTGGTAACAAACACATGCTATAATCTTTTACTTAAAAATAGGTTATTTTCCTTGACTCGCAACTATGGAAACAACAGCTGCAGGAAAAAATAATAAATAAATAACTTGCTTAATTCCCTCCTACTTTATTCTTATTTAGGGTGTTTTGCTTCATTAAACAAATGCAAATGAAGGCAGATTTGAACTACAGTCTCAAATATTGAAGAGAAAATAAATGCTTTGCAGTGGTGCAAGTTATGATCAAGAATGGATTTGGGAGCTGGCATCTACCTTCAAGAGCTTATTTTAAAGTAGCAAATTTTAATCACTTGAAGTAAAAATCAATTCAATTTATAGGGCGCTTGCAAGTTTGAACTGGGAGGGGCTCTCACACCATCATCATGTGGGTTAAAAAATAGCAGTGTAAAAAATAACAAACACATGCCATGTCTTAGGGTAAGGGGCCCAAAAAGTGAAAATCCTTTTCTGAGACATGATAAAACAAACTTAATTCAAATTTAACTCTATAAAATATTTTCTCATCATTTAACTTTTGGATGATAATGTACATGCAACAACATATGGAAATCTTAGATAAAAAATATTCATGCATATTTTTCTAGAATCATTTAATCACCAAAATTTACTTCCATGGAAAGCCATGAGATGTCCTGATGACAATTATCACAAAGCTTTCAGGAATGATCAAGCATGTAAACAACACTAGTGCAAAGTCTGGAATTTTTCAACCTGTCCCTGAATTCTAGAATAGAGCACATAAAGTGGAATAGCACAAACCCAAAATATTTGCAGCCAGTGGACGGGCAAACACGATGTATCTGCGAGTAACAAGGTTACTATATGATAAGGTGCATTCTTCGTAGATGGTTGGTGTATTGTACAGCACTGATTACTCAAATAGTGAGATTCCGAGCACAGGCATGTTTAACAGCTAACAATAGTGTAGTAAGCAAGTAATAATTATGTTCACACATTATTAGCAAAATGGCTTATAATGCTGCTACTGCACAAATACGAATATTAGTGATGGAAGAAGTACCCAATAAATGAAATACTCTAACATACATTAATAAGAGCTTTGTATGAAAGTTTTTACTTTGTTGAAGCATGAAAAGTTTTCAGCCGCAATTGTTAAAAAATTCTACAAGTGTTTACAGCTTCAAAGAGAAGTGGTATAACAGACTACAAAGTGGAACAAATTCATCAGCATATGTACATCAAATTTCAGAACACATGAAACATACAACTAATGGCATTTAAAGAAATTTAAGCAGCTACACAAGTTTTAAATTCAGCAATTATTTCTTTCATCACTCCAATTGCTTCTTCCATTCTTAATAAACTTCATTATATGTGACATATATAACCCTCTACTACCTATAGTAGATATCAGTTAGTCATGGTGTATCCATTAAATTTGCTTGTAGCTTTGTTTTCTCCTACCACAATACCATATAGTAGCATGATGTATGTATACAACAACATGCAACATGCGACGGAAGACGTGGACACCATTCCTCTACAATACGGTTAATCGGTATAGTGCCACGTCCACCTTTATTTCTTGCCTAGATACATGATACATAAGAACATACGGTGGCTACAGATAGACTGTGCAGAAGATACATATATATTCAGATGCCTAAATACATCTTATGTAGGAACATGGGGTGTATGAGATGTATAAGGGGACATTCATAAGAACATATCTAATGTGACACACATTGGGTGACGTACACATACTTATGAATATAAGATATATAGGAGCAGAATCAGTTACATGTTACAGGATGTTGCGAGATATATGATACAAGATACTGTTGATACAGATATAGGCAGATGCCAAGATACATAATATGAGATGCAGAGTGAAATAAGTGGCAGGATACATGGTAGAAGGTGCGAAATAAGATGCATTATACAGGGATATGTGAGATATATGTTACAATATGCAGAAAATACAAATGATGCCAGGATGCATGATACGTAGAACATAAGGTGTGATAGATACATAAGGTGACAAATATAAGGACATGCATAAGATGAAATACACATACTTAAGAAAAGAAGGTTCAAAATAGGTTACATATTAAAGGATAATACGAGATATATGATAATTATTACACAATGATACAAGATATTTGTTAAAACGTACAGGGTTACATTTTACAACATAGGTTACGTATTGCAGGATGTTGCAAGATATATAATACAAGGTGCAGAAGATACTAATATAAGCAGATACCAAGATGCATGATACATAATACATATTAAAGGATAATACGAGATATATGAAACATATTACAGGATGATACGAGATATTTGTTAAACATACAGGGTTACATTTTACAACATAGGTTACATATTGCAGGATATTACAAGATATAGTCAAAAGTCGTTAATTCGGACACCCATAATCCGGAATGATCTATAATCCGGACCTCAAAGCTAAAATCTTTCTGCGCATGCGCCGCATTGACGCATGCGCATAGGCGTTTTACTCGTGCACGCAAGACATTTACCACTGCGCATATGTGTCTGCGCAAGTGCAGAATACGTTTTCGCGTGCGCGTTTAATATATAACCGACGGTATAAGCTAAAGCTAAAATTATCTAATTCTCTATTTCAGTCGCGTGTTTCATGATTGCGTTGTTCTTTAATCTTCGAATTGGATCCGGCTTATTATTTTTTGCAGACTGTAAGAGCAATTTTCTAAAGTAAGCTTGAACTTAACTTTCGATTATGTCAAATAGAATTTCCGATGCTGGAGCTTCCAAAGGATCTACAAAACGAAAGTATGTTTCGATGTCCAACAAACAAAAAGTGGAATTGCTGCAAAAAATGGATAAAGGCATATTCTTTGTTTATCTAACCATTCCTAAATCTGTTTATCAATTTCATGCTGCTCTGCGCGGGGGGGGGGGGGACGTCGCGGCGCGCAATGAACTGGAAGTTGATTTGTCAACACTATCGTTATCTTCAGGGCAGATGTTTTTATTTTATTCGGCTTATAATTCCTTACTAAATGTAGTATTTAATTTTCGGTGTACTCCATCTTTGATATGATTTAAATCAAATTCCTCGTCATTATAAATATCACGAATACAAATCAAATAGTTTTCTGGTTGCAATTTTCTAATTTCGGCTATGCGTAAGGTATGCTTTACGCGCGTTGAAAGAAATGTTTAATAAAGTAAACAAATAAATATTAGGCTTCTTTTTTGGTAAATTTTGATACCCTTTAGATCATAATTGCTCATTATTTTATAAATTACAGTTTCATATTTTTAATTTTATAATTTCTGCATGCCATCTTACCAGATTTAAACTGATGATCTATAATCCGGAAAAATCGATAATCCGGAATCGCCGAAGTCCCGACGAGTCCGGATTAAAGACTTTTGACTGTATATGATACAAGGTGCAGAAGATACTAATATAGGCAGATACCAAGATCCAAGATACATGATACATCGTGCAGAATATGTTACATGCTACAAGATGACACAAGATTATATATACAGATGCCGGGATACATGATACTGGATTCGGAATAAGTTACATAACTAAGATTTTGCGAGATATATGATACTATGTGCTGGAAATACAAATTTATGCTAATGCCAGGATACTTGATACAAGGCGCATGATAAGCTGAATGAATAAGTTACATGATATAGGATAATACGAGATAATATATGCGAATGTCAGAATACATGATACAGGGTGTTGAATAGTTTGCATGATACAGGATGATACGAAATAAATGATATAAGGTACAGACGATATAAATATACGCAGATACAGATAATGCTAATTCCATTGTACAGTTCAGTTAGTTAACATAATACAGATAATTGGCATAATACAGTTTCATTAAATAATGCTTGTATATATGGAATAGGACTATCAGTGTTGTTCACATTCAATATTATTCAAAGGTATTAGATACTGGTGCCAGTCACTAAATCGCTGTTTGTCTATTGTGGCAGTCTGTGAGGTTGGCTAAATTTGGCACAGATCCATATTTAGTTCTGCCAGTTTGCCCATTAGGAGCCCGATTTTTCTGACCAGGTGCCTTTGCTTTATTAAAAACTTACCGAAGGCCCGTCGATTTGTGGATGGAAAGTTGACATGAAGCTCTTCTGTA